GGAATGTGCTGGAGTCATTCACACTAGGAATCATGCTCCTCATGATTGCTAGTCCCACAGACCCCTGAGAAGTTTCCCTTGCAAGTTATTCCCCCACCCCCTCCCCCCCTGCTTTGCATTCAAGTAAGCCTATCATCTCCAAAAGGTGGGTTTTTGTTTTTTCTTTTTTTTTTAAAAAAGCTTAAAAATGTAATTGCATTAATCTTGTGAAGTAAGCTAGATATTGTATCTTTACAAGGACCTCCTTCCAACTCTGGCAGAAAGCTGATGGGTAAGAAAAAGCTGCCAGAAGACTGTCTTCAAAGAACAAGAACAAAGCTTTATTTCCTTGCCTAAAGAAATCCCATTAATACAGGATTTTTGCCTTTAAACACAAATTATTAGGAAGAAGTTCTCCACTGTGAGGGTGGTCAGACACTGGAACAGGTTGCCCAGAGAAGCTGTGGATGCCCCCTCCCTGGAAGTGTTTAAGGCCAGGCTGGATGAGGCTTTGAGCAACCTGATCTAGTGGAGGATGTCCCTGCTGATGGCAGGGGGGTTGGAACTAGATGATCTTTAAGGTCTCTTCCAATCCTAACCATTCTATGATTCTATGAAATGTCTTAAAAATTAGGACTTCCTCAAGAATTTCAATGGTATAGCAATTTCCCAAACAATTTCCAAGGCAGAGCCTCCCAGTGATTCTAACATAGAACAGTCATTGCTGTAGAAGGAGTCAAAGTAATCTAGAACCTGCTCTTTCCTCTTCAGCCTCATCTCAGTGCCCGCTAAAATCATGGAACAGATCCTCCTGGAAGTTATGTTGAAGCATATGGGAGACAGGGAGGTGATCAGCAACAGTCAACATGGCTTCACCAAGAGCAAACTGTGCCTGACTAATCAAGTGATCTTCTACAATGGAGTGAATGCATCAATGAACAAGAGAAAAGACACAGACGTAATCTACCCTGGCTTCTAGAAGGCCCACAATACAGTCCCCCACAACATTCTTGCCTCTAAATTGGAGAGATATGGGTTTGATGGGTGGACTATTTAATAGGTAAGAAATGGCTGGATGGCCATGACCATAAATAAAAGTTTATCACTCTACCAGCTTCTGTTGCTGTTTAAGTTGTGTGTTTTAAGTTAGACTAATGACCAAGGGAGAATATTTCCTAAACTTTATATTTAGGGAAGTATCTGTTTTCTTGCCACAGACTCAAAACTCAACAAAAATAATACATTCAAGATTAACACCAGTCTAATCAATTTCTTTGCAACTATACAGGTAAAGATTTCTTTAACGACACCGGTAAGAACCACCACTACTCAAGGAAAAACAAGGCCCGACAATAAGCCTAAACACATATCCACACCACATTTAATCAGAATAGAACTTGTTTCATGAAGTATTTAATCTCTGATTAAGTTCCTCTGATGGTCATAGATTTTAAAAACTAATTGATAATTTCATCTCACCTGGCTGAAAATCTTGTGCCATTTGATGCAGAACCTGATGAGGATGTGACATATACACTGCTGATTGATCCCTGAGCCATTTCTGTAAAACAAACAACACGTATTTCAAGAATACTTCAAAACATACTCATCTAATTCAGTGGAAATGCTTAATTCCTTTTCAAGTGCAGAAAAGGAATCTTGCAACCAAAACAACAAAACATATTGATGTACAAAATCCAAAATAGCATAATTAAAAACCAAGGAGCTAGTGCAACAGCACAATTTCAAAATACATTAAAAATAATTTTATTTTGAAGTGAGCAAGTCAGATGTCTTCAGTATTCTTACATAATGAACATCATAAAACAATATAAAATGAAGCCATGACCATGTTTGCACTTCCTACCTTTTGCCTTTTTAGGTGAACCAATGAGACATACTGTCCTCTTAAAATTACATACTGCAAAGATCTACTTGTCTGGTATAATGCAAAATGTGGTTCTGGGAAGAGCAACAGCCCATTTTCTATGAATCTCTATCTTATTTGTTCCCTAAGTTACACTAAAAAAGCATATATATTTGAGAATTTGTTAGAAATCTTCACCTCAAATCAGTGGAAATTAACTCATCTTAGATATTTTCATGTTTTTTCCTTGAGTCCCATATTAAGGAGGAAAACAAAACAACTCTTCTTGGAGTAACTAACCTGTCACATATGGTTCCAGAGCTTTAGGAACTAAACTCCTTGCAATTTTTAGGTCCTCTGCTGAACAGCTTCCAGATTCTAGCCCACAAGCCATTCCCATTCGTTTTAGTACTTCTATATCATCATGAATTTCAAAAGTATTGTCAAAATTAAATAGATATTCAAACCTGGAGAGGAAAAATGTCTTGATTAGCTTAAATTACTTTAACTACCTTTCCAGTTTCAGGAATTGAAGCATTTCAAAAGCTTAACACACAGTGTTAGTGACACATCACATTAAGCAATCAAATTTTTCAAAATTTATGTATTTGATAGCAAGTGACTAAAACTGCAATTATACATACTATGCAAATCATTAACAGGTTTAACAGGCACAGAGTTTTAATTAAACATTTTGCACGTTTGATAATTTTTTCTTTAATCTCATTCCTCTGCCTGCTGTGTAATTTTTTAAAATGTTTTTAAACTTCTCTAGTAAGCTAGTAGTGTAAGCAGAAATTACTGCTACATTCAGCTTTTATTTAGCAGATGAGAAGCCTAGCTTTTTGAACCCAAAGTAGAGAACGGCAGTTCTGAAAGCAAAATTCCTTTTCAGTTCCGCTGGCTGTTAATGTTAAAGCCATTTGTTGGCAAAGTACAATACAAAACTCCAGTAGAGCTGCCTTACTTTGCTTCTAACATCTCTAGATAGTAAGGCTTAGAGACATTATTAAATGTGAAAACAATTATTCTGGTTATTTAGAAGCTCTATAAAACTCTGTTTCTATTCGACATGAGTAAGTTTTATCTGTCTGAAATGCAAGTTCTCAATCTACAAAAGGCACAAGTAAATTTCTTTGTCTTTTATTTTGAACAAATCTAGATGAACACTTTAGCATGAACACAAAACTCATAGTTGTACCAAAAGCCAGATAGAAAACTTTGTTAACTCACTTGTCATTTGAAATACTGCAGTCAATCACTGTCTTCTTGCTGGTGTTCACAATAATAAATGGCAAATGGATGACAGAATTGGAAGGTGGCGGTCGATTTGCCTGTTGTTCTGCTTGGCGGTTTCGCTGAACAAGGTTCTTGAAGGCAATTTGCTAGAAAAAGCAATAATTATATAACAATAGGAATTAAACCTTCAAGAGCCTGTTAATGAAAAACCCCTCAGATAAAGAATACCAGCAATGGTTGTAGCAGGTAAATGCAGAAAAGGACAGAGTGTTCACCATATTGCTGCATGTTAAGATGCAACAAGAGACATAAATGATAGTACTGAAGATACAACACAGTAAAAGTTAACTGAGAAAAAAACTGCACATTCTAATAACTGCATCAGGACCTTGACAGAATGAAGAGGTAACAATGACTGGAAAAAGGAATTTTCATACAGCATCCTACTTCCACACTGTTTACTATTCCCTGCTAGCTACTGCACTCCATAAGAACAGATGAATGATTAATATTATATTTTTGCAGAAATTATATGTTTGAAAAGCAGTTAATGCTTGGGATCTGAATGTCTAACGTTATGTTTCTGAATTACTCAATTAAGATTAGTGACTTCACTCTCATATCTTACCAAAACTGCTTTTCAGAATGGAATGTTCATATTTTAAAGACTAGCAATTGTAATAATGAAAAATTCAAGTTAACTATTAAAACCCAAGTTATAAATCTTACAGTTAGGCACCAAACTAAGAAAAAGTATTTTTTTGGTCATGGAATCAAATGAAATAAACAGGAACTAAAAACAAAATCCAAAACCAAGACAGAGGCTGATAAAAATCAGACAGCTGTGGAAATTGCTGTCCCACAGCTGTCTGTACTTTCTTTCTCCAACATTTTCATTCCTACTGCATAAGTAATGCAACTACTAAGGGATACATTCTGGTGAAGCAGCAGCAGTGACTTCGGCGACAGACTACTGCTTCCCAGAGTGTATTAGGGAAATCTAGGAAGGAGTTCAGCGACTGTTTCACAGCAGTTAAGCCACTTACACAGCAGGGGTAGCAACATCCAAGAGAGGGAAGACAAAGAGCATTATGAGAACTGTACAGTCATAGTTTTATCTGTGGACTCTTAATACAGAAAAACATTCTAGATACAAGAACTGAATCGGAAAATTCAGAGGTACAGTATGAATTACAGCTCCTGTCAGCATAAATCCTGTTTAAACATACCCGAAACTGCAAAAGAACTCGTGGTAATTCATGAAATGTTGCTGGCTTTGCCAACAGCAAACAGGGCCAACAGCATGTTCCCAGCTAAACTACAGTGCTAAATTAAAACTGCATATGCCTTACCCTGAAATTCACCTCTAGTAATTAAGAGGTTTCCCATCCCTCACTGGGATAAAACAACAGAATTACAGATATAAGTTACCTTGCCCTATAGACAAGAGTACCTTGACTGTACCTGTAGAATGAGTTCTTGTAGTTGAGACTGTTTTTGCTTTATTCTTTCAAGCCTTCTCTGTTTCTCCACCTTAAGACAGAAAAAGGATTGGTTAGTTTGTTGTTTTTAAATACCATTTTATATCAACATCATCTCCCCTTAAAATCATCTTAATAGCATAAAACTGAAGGCAGGACCTAAGATGTCAACCATTAAGGTTCTGCAGAGAATTTAGAGACCTAACTATCAAGACTCACATCAGTAGCATAGAGGGAAACTGTAACAAAGAGCAGAACTAGAACACTGGGGAATGAAGTACAAAAACTGGGGAAAGCGTAAAAACATATCTGCAAGCAAGTTATGCCTCAAAGAATTATCCACATTCCTTCAAGGAGGCAAAGAGCACATAGACCAGAAGGATCCACTTGATGTAGTCTACTGATATTGGAGGTACTGGAGAAGATCCATCAAAGATGCTTAAAGAAATGAAGCAGCTATGGAACCAAAAAGTCCCCTCAGTATTAAACACATACTGAATAATAAGATAAAAGACAGGAGACAAAATGGTAGGAAATAAACTGCTTTCCCAGTGAAGGAAGCTCACCGGTAGATTCCCATAGGGACTTAATTTACAGACTGTTACCACAGAGGATTGGAATAAGGGGATGAACAGTAAATAGAATCTGCTAACAATGCTGGGCTATCTGCCATAGTAAAAAGAGAGCTCGTCACAAAGCACACTCAAAGTGTCTTGTAGCATCGAGTGATTACATCATCAAAATTAATTCTAGTAAATGTAATGTGGTATGTGTGAGGAAACAATCCCATTCATGCAAACTTTAGAAATAAAATAACATTCAGCAGAAATTTTAAATTACAGTATCTACAAAAGCATCAGCTCAGTACACCACAGCAGTCAAAACTTTGAATTACTAAGCAAGGAACAGAGAACAAAACAGAAATTATCACAGTCAGTGTATGAACCCAGAACGTTTACATCTCAAATTCTGAAGGTCTGGTGTTCTTATTTCAGAAAGATCATACAAAAGAGCAATCAGGATAATCAATGCTATAGAACAGATTCCATACAAGGGACTAATGAATAAAATAGGACTCTACAGAAAGGAGAATGAAATAATGAGGGAGAATATGGGAGATCTCTCTAAAACTATGAATAGGATGGAGAAAGTGAATAAGGAATGACCAGGTCATCATCACTTCCAATTAAGAAAAAAAATAAAATAAAATAAAAAAGTTAGAGGTTATATTCAGGGTATGTTCAGAAACAACAAATGTATTTCATAAGAAGTTTCTAATGGACCTGAAACTCAGTGCCACAAAAGACTCAATGTTAAAAGCAAACTTTGTATAGAGAAAAAAATCTGTGCAAGAAAAATTAACTGAGGGCTATTAAATAGAAGGATATTGTATCTGCCTCGGGTTATGCCTGAACCACAAGTTACAGGAGAAAACATCACTAAATACTTTCTCTAACGGTATACTTCTTCCTAGGTTAACTGCTACTATCAGGCTACATACTGGATAGACAGTCTACTGGCCTGAACATCAACTTTTGTTCTTAGGTCCTTAAAATATCTAACTAACAAGAAAATAACTGGAGTTAAAAATTCACATGAATGCAGTTTTCTGTTCATTTTCAGTGAAAAAAAACCCCAGAAGTGTACATAGCTGAAAAACCTGCCAAAAGGCATGATGTTATATCATATTTAAAGAAAAAAAAAAAAAAAAAGGGTAGGACCAGATCTTATCATTTAACATTAGAAAATAAGTCAAATAACCGCCTCCCCGCAAAAACCTTACTGCAAGTCACCTGGGATATTTTGTTATCACATACACATAAACTACACTGCCTTCCATATTACTTCAAGATACAGACCTTATTAATTCCTCCACAACCTCTCTTTTTGCATTATCAGGACATATTTTACCAAACCTAATATTCTAATTTGCACACAAAGTACAAATTTAAAAAGACTTTAAGTTCCTAAATACTTGATGGGGACCCCTCAAATGCCTATGTTCCCTGATAAACTATTTGGCTTGATTTTTCAACAGTTTAAGGGTGAAGCTAAGCAATATTGATTATTTAACAAATTAAACAAATTAGCTTCCACAAACTCATTTTAAAAAGTCCTATTGCAAAGCTTGTCACATAATGTCGCTAAATTTCAATGTCAACAGAGCTTGCAGAAACAGGAGTTAGAATATTTATAAAGCAGTAATGTGGAAGGGAGGAATCCTGCAATTTCCCCAAGTAAGCTCCACACATCTTGGGATTTTTGCTGCTTTCAAGCCTGTATTACACTTCTGGCTCAATTATTCAATGGTTAACAGAACTCCCATCTTAAACACATGAATGTTCACTGTGCATTATTACATTCTAAGTTGCTTTTTTTTACTTCAGTACTAGTATTATCCTACTCTTCTTTAGGACTTTATCAGTCATGACATCAAAGGCAGCTGAATGAGCTACTCTTCTCTTTCTTTTGCTACGACATTACTGGTAATACTATGCTTTGTGAGACAGATCCAGAAAGATCTACTTTCCAAATCCCTCCAGCTAGCTGGTTCCCTATTCAGCACACAGCACCATTATCTTCAAACCACTTTACCTTCCATACTCACCCTGCTATTTATGCCCCAATGACTTTAGCTAATAATTTTCACTTGGGATGATAAATATTTAAATAAAACTCAGATTGATTAGATTCCTTTTAAAAAAAAAAAATCTAAATAGCAATTACAGTACTAAATGAAAAATCAATTATCACACAAAATAATCAAACAAAAATCTCCATAGAATTAGCCCTCTGTAGATAGATTCCAAAATGTTTTTTTCCAATTTGTCAGCTTCTACACTGATTTTTCAGTCCTGCTGAAGGGAATTTAGATTTATTAAGAATACCTACAAAGTCTCATTCTATTCTGATAAAGTAAATTGACTTCAGTAAACCTCAGTAACTTTATTATCCTGCAAACCTCAGGATACTTTTAAAAAAAAAAATAAATGCTGCCAGAACTTATGAATGCCTTTCAGTATAAAATATTTTACTTCTTACCCAAGACATGCAGTAAAAAAGTCTGACATGTTCATGTAAGACAAATGTCAGAAATACACATGACCTCCAACAACACAGAAGGAGGAATGCATATATATACTGGTCTACATGCAGCATCAGTCATCACAGGTGTATTATTTGTCTGGAATCTGGAGAAAACAATCTTCCTGACCCCTGACCACCACTATTGTAATGTTGGAAATAATCAAACTGTAAAGTTAATTAGTAACTTCCACTCAGAACCATTTCATGTATACAGTAAAAGCAGTGACAAAGCTGTATTTTTGACATAGAAGCATTAAAAAAAAAATATTTAAGCAATTTGAAAGTTTAAATGTTTGTTCTGTAAATACAAATACAATTTAAAAAAAAAAAGAGTCAACAGGACCACACTATTCTACCTTGCTGTCTCAGGAGATCACATGTACATTTTGGATCAGAACATATTAAAGCTGCAAACATTTACTCAAACACAAATCTATGTGAATTTCCTAATACATATACCTCTAAATTCTGACATTCCTGAGCCGAGTTAGTAGGTAGACCAATCCATTTGATTTCCTTCTTCTCCTTAGAGATAATGTTCATGGCCATAAGAACATTTAAGGCATCATAGACACGTCGTCTAATATTCTTCTGATCATAAGCCTGCTGTAGACATAGTGCATTAATCAAAAACATACCTGTGATGAAAATATTTGAAAATAAATATATTACAGTAAATGGGTAAGCTTGGGTAATGTCTGAACTGTTTCATTTAGCAGTAGGAAAAGAAATACAAAAGTCTCAAAATAAATTTCTCTTCCCCCATTCAGTTCACATGTAACTGACCTCCCACATACTTACTGATTCATTTGGTGAAATGTGATTATCAGTGGTACTGAATTCTGCAACCAACTCGTCTGCCACCTCATTGTATGAGGTGGTTCCTTTTCTTTGTACCTTCTCACAAACCTTCATAGAGAAATGCCGTAAACCCTTGCCATTCTTCTCTCCTTTTTTGTTCCGCTTCCTAAATATACGTATAATATATATTTTAAGAAGATGTGAACTTTGGAATATTTAATGTCTCTTTTTCAAATACAGGTACACTGCTGCAAAAACCAAGCCTTCCCTTTTTTTCTGCTTCTCACCCCTTCCCAACATTTTTCCTGAAATTTTTCCCCTACTATTTACAATAATTAACAATTCTAGTATCTTGATGCTGAAACACAGTACAAATTCATCCTTTTGGCAACTCTGCTAGCAGGTAAGTTAACAATAGTGATATTCCTTCAAGAAGTTAATAAACAAAACCTTATAATCTTCAAGACAAGAAGGGATAGAGGGATACATGCTAAACTATGAAAAGTGAATTACAAAACAAAACAAAAAATGTGTTGTTTTTTTTTTTTAATTTAAATAGCCCATCTAGTTTTAAAAAAAAATTAGATCTAATAATCACTGAACAGACAAAGCCCAATACTAGTTGAACTTAAACACTACACTAGAACACAGATCTGAAGTTACACAGTATGTGAAGTTGTTACAACAGATGCAAGAAGCATAACGGTTTTCTGCATATCTTTTAAATAAAAAGTTCCTTGTAACTTGAGGAAAAGTAAAAGTAGCTACAAAATTAGTATCAACAATGGAACTTCTTAATTTTCTACATTTCATTTAATTGTGTAATTCCAAAGTAGAAATCTATTTATGCCTAACCAGATACTGATGATAAATTTAGTTTTAAAGCAATTACATTTAACAAGAGACCCTTAAAAACAAGCTTGCATGAGAAAAATATTCCAAAAGAATGCATTCATTGCATCTAATACTTTTTTTCCAGTAAGAACTATATTCTTATTTCAAATGATACTTCGCCACACATTTTTTTCAATCTGAAATGATTTTTATTTTTTGGAAATACACCAGAAAAACAGAAATGCCAAATTAAAAACTGAATCAAGTCAGATGAATTCCACTGTCCTTTTAGGAGCTGAATTCTCTAAAGGTAAGTAAGATGAGGATATCCACCAGTATTTACAGAAAATATTCTAGTTGTTTTTATGACAAATGAGGGGGTATTCATTCTTGTATGACTATACTTGGTTTTAGTACAGTATACTTTAATGTCTGTCTCACACTGCTAGCCTGAAGAGTACACTCACTATCACAGTGAACACTTAGAAAAATTAATCCTTTCTAATTTTTATTTTGCTCACCCAGCAGACCATGGCGAAGAATCTGCAGTCTGGTTCTGTGATACAAAATGTGTGTTGGGTGTATGTGGACTTCCTACCAGGATAGTATTTGGCGCTGAAGGTCTCTGAGGTGTACCAATAACCTACAATAAGGATAAAATTATTTGGAAAATGATCCTAAGTATTCAAAGATAGTTAGATGTTGCATTATTCAAATGATGCATTATCCAAACATGAATAATGCTTTCTACCTACTTTATTACATGCATTAAATTTATACACACTAGCATAAAAACCTTCAGACTACATATTACATAGTTAGAGCCCTCCCAAAGTAATGAGCATTTATGTTTTATCCTCCCAGTGTGAAGAGAAGGTTGCATCCCTGACATCAGGTAAATGAAGCAAACATCAAATGAACCTAAACTCACAAGCCTGCTATATTTTCCTGCAGCTGCATTCTCCCTCATTAACAAAATCTGCATCTTCTTCATCAGGCTAGCTTTGAAAATTTAGCCTCAACAAGAATAAAATTGAAAAACTGAAAACTCAAAATAAAACATTTTATGCGTGAAAGTTAAAACGAATCAAAATTCAACTAACTGTTAAATGTAGAATGCAAGAGGCAATGTAGTGACTATTAGATGTTAATGATTTCAGCTGCCTGGATGGACAGACAGCTGCATTTCTTCACAGACACTGTATCTTCATATTATGTCACCTCACTGAGTTTGTTGCATCCACTTCTGGAAAATCTTAGGTCCTCCTCCCCTTTCTAGCAGCTTACTTCCATACTTAAAATGCTTCTAATTCTTATGGAAAAATCAAGCAATCTCCCCTACTACTTTCATAACCGAAAATTCTGAACAGGCACAGGACGTATGTGAAGCAGGTGAGTTTCTCCCTGTGAAAAAACCTCTATCAGTTCTGCTGTTGACTGGTCTGGTTCACCAAATGTCTCAAAAGACTGAAAACCACCAGTGTGCTATTCACATAATGAAGACAATACAGAGAACAGAGGAAAGCTGTTATCCATTTTTTATTCCCTAGGATGTAGACACAGAAGACTGGAAGAGATGATTCAACATCTTGCTTGCAGAGGCTAAAATTAGAGGGTCCCATTCCACTCCCTAGCTTCCCAACTCCACAAACAGCCCCACCATCACCCTGGTGCCACATCTAGAATTCGTATGGCTGTGCAGTAAGATGAAAGCCAAGCCAGCACAAGGGAGGGGGTGGAATTACAGCTGGGAGAAAAACAAACCATTTGGCAGCAGCAAACCATGGACATCTACTGCACTCAGTAGTGTTTTGAAATATTCAACAGTACAAAGGAATAAATGGAAAGCTGCACAAATTCACAGGCTCATTTCTAGAGTGGAAAAGTGAAGTCTGTTTAGTAGATTTAAAACCTGCTCTGCATTCCCATTCTAACTCACAGAAGTCTGCAAACTAGCCAGAATTATAGGCTTTAATGTATCACTCTTGTGGAAGACCCTAGAGTTTAGAGTTTCAGAATCTTCTCAGGAATTACTTCGTATTATTTGCTCTAATAGAAATGTTAATACCCCTAACTCACAAGTTCATAAATAACCATGACTTTGAAAGGAAGGAGCATGAAAGGAGTTAAGCAGTATTGAGTCACTGGGAACACCCTAAAATTAAAGGTTATACACAGAATTAGAGAGGATGATTTTCGACAAAACAGAGGGACAGGAGGGCAGGGCAGGGCAGGGCAGCAAAAGTAGAAAAAGAAGCACATGCTGTTTCTCTTAAGTTTCCTCAGTTCAAAAGAGAACAAGATTTCAGTTTAGCTCCTTAAGAATTAATAAGATGAGGACAACAGATAAGAACAGCAAGACAGCCCACACAGTCCAACTGTACTCAACAGAAAAAATTCTATGGGTCAGTATTAAGAAAAAGAAATCAGACTACCTGAACAAAGAGCGCAAGTTCAGAAAATGAAGTATTTAAGTATTAAAAACCTGGTTTTACCATTTAAAGGTTAGAAAGTTGTGCAGGGTCACAAGCTATCTCCTCAACCCTGCTTCCTAAGAACATTTTATACATTGGCAGAAAATGTCTTAATTTTCAGGGTTCTACAGGGTGGGGTTTTTTTTTAATAGTTCTTGCTATCCCCTTCAGAACTGTAAAATCAACAGAAATTCACCAGAAATTCCTCCCTCTATATTCACAAAACAAAACTGCCATCTCTTCTTTAATGACATACAACTTACATAATTTTATACTGATAACAGCCAATACAAATATGCTGATATAGGCCCTTTCTTTCACAAAAAAAATAATGCTAATATGTTCAGAGTAAGACTCAAAGTGCTGAAAAAAAATATGACTGCAAATGTAAATTTCCCACAGGAATCACACTAACAAAACCACTGTTAGTAGTTATTACTTCAGAATCATATTTTTAAAATAACATTACCATGTAAAATTAATCATAGATAATATAGATGAAGATTTGTCAATTTAAACCTGTGCTGGAAGACACAAGAATTTATTTTATATGTATATAAACATTGTTGTAAACATTAATTTACTTATTATTGAAAATTTAAGAAAGCATCAGATAATCTGTAATTTCATTATTATCCCATGGTTTTGGTACTTTTAAGAAAACATTTTGTAAGTTACCTGAAAGAACATTTCATTTTCAACATTAAGCTCAAGTATGCACCCAGTCTCACAATAATGCCCAGAAGGGAGCCCCTCTGTGCCATTATACCTATGATCTATAGTTAAAACATTTTCCTCCTACTGCTGGTTTCTGATTTTAAACTGAAGGAATGCCTAACTACTGAGAGTTTCCTTGTTTGGAAATTTATTGATAAAATGCCTCCTACTGCAGGAGCAATTTCATTCAGTTAAACTTGTTTCGCTACTCTCTCAACTTCCAAACGGCTGCTGGAAGTAGTTAATCCACCATCACTGCCGGAAATACAGCACAGTGAGTGATCTGCAATTATACAGACACTTCATTACTCAATAATCTTCAGCCTGTCCCAGTCTCCTCAAGCCATGTGAAGCTCATGACTTAATCATAGTGATAGTGGATCTGTAATTCAGTTAAGAACATGGGAGGATGCAGAGGTTTGAGGGTTTTTGTTTTCTTTTGTTTCCCTCCTCAAACTGACAGTTATACTCTAGCAGCTATCTAAGCACAGTAACAGCTTCCAAGTATGGTCAAGAAGCACTTACACAGATATCCTGCCTGTTGCAGAGGGACTAGGCTGTCACAACACCCATACGGCCAAAGCAGTAGTTTATACATTCAGGCAGCCTCAGTTTTATAAAACACTCCTTACAGCTTACAGTTGGGAAAGGCAGATGGAAAATTGCTTTCATATCAAGAATAAACCCACATATAAGACATATTCTATTTCAGATGTTTTCATGTTACAGTTGCTCTCCAGAAGATGAACTGAGACCAACCGTTTTCAGATCACCAAATTTCAATTTTGATCACTATAAAAGTGACTTCTCATAGCCTATGTATTATCTATTGCATTATGAGATTCTTTCTCTAATTTCATGTATCTCACACAAAGCTCACAGTAAGTGTTTAAGCAAAAGGATATCTAAATTAAGCACTAAGAAAGGTAGTTCTATTTTCAATTTTCTTCCATCTAACTTCAATTTCAATAAAAATGTGCTAATGGACTTCATTTGTATTTCCCTATGTCAGATTTCAAAGCAGAATCTGAAAGAGGCACTGATTTTAAGTGGCAAGACTAGCAAAAGATAAAGCCACCTGAATATTCAGGTATCCACTGACAGTCACCTTTGCATTTCTTTATGCAAAAGAACATTTGTTTTAACATAAGTCTATTAAAATTGGAAACAAGCTTAGCCTATCTGCCCATGGCAAGTGATACCAACTATCAAGCTACATGTCAGATTCACAGTATGTGTGAGCAATTGTACAAGCAATAGAAAAACCCCGCAGTCTCCTTACCACTTGTTGTGCAATGTTGACATTAGACTGTCCGAATGTTTTTGGCAGGAGCTGTTTTCCAAGCGTATTTACTGTAGAAGGGTGAACAGCCAATAGAGAAACAACCCCTAAAACAAATACAAGTACATAGCTTTAGGTCAACCACATTGTATTATTTTAGCAATTCCAGTTTTATATCTACTTCCAATGCCTATTAATAGAAACTGGCTCTGAACTGCACAGAGAATCAATATAAACATAGCATTTACACATTTGAAGTAAAAAAAAAAAATATTAAGATTCACAATATATTCTCTCAAACTTTCTCCTATGTAACCTTACAGGTCAGTGATTTAATATGAAGATGTTCTAGTAATTTGCATTCCAATTTTTCTCTCAAAGCAGAGTAATAAATAGAGGCAATGGGCACCTGACACAAAAGTTTAATTCCTTCCTCTTCTACCTCTGTCCCTTGTGCCTATTGAAATCTTTTCCCACAGCACCTGAAAAACACACCCAATGCCCCGGTATATGACATACTGTTCTGAGGCAGGCTGGTCTACGGGAGATAAAATTTGGTTAGCACATGCCTTTCCAAGAGAATATTCCCAACTTTCCTCCAAGTGCCCCCTCCCAGCTGAAGGCAGGGAAGTAAAGAACAGAAGTCTTCAAGAATCCAATATTTGAGCAAAATACATGCAACACAGCAGACTAACGCTGCAGGGAAAGGCGTTTTCTTCCTGTCCATAAGCCATCTACAATCACCAAGGCAAGCAATTCTTAAGTCATGTAAAAAAAAAATTCAACTACAAAAATACCAAGCCAGGTATCCTCTAGCAATCTGCTGCTACTTGCCACAGTTTAAAAGAGCAGGAAAAAAAAAAAAAAATCAAACAAACAAAAGCAACAAGGACTAACTATGAAAAAAGTACAATGGGACAAACAAGTCAAAATACTGGAGACACTGATTCTGCTGAAACATCTGTCATTTGATTCTCACTTGAGAGGTTTAGCAGTTCTCTCCCTTGGGTCACTTCTAAAGGGGCCAATGGGGTCAGAAGGACTTGGCACAATTCCCATTGCTCTTCCTCTCCTTTTCCCATTATCCAATACAGAAGCACCAGGTAAGTATTTATACAAGGTCTGTATCAGGAAGGGCCCTAATGAGTCCTTGATACCCACCATCTCTCTTACACATTCAGGTAGTCTACAGGAAGTTGGGGACAACTCAAGTCTTGTTTAAACCAAAAGGCTTGTATTTCCTAGTTGCTATTACTACACCACGTTAAACTGATAGCTTCACACAAGAACCTATTCTCAGTCCCCCAAATCTGAACAGGATGCATTAGCCTGTCATTCTTCCACTATTAGGCAACTTTCCAGTGGTCTTTCAGAAAGTCAGCTATTTAGTTCATAACACAAGTCTGTTACAGCTTCCAGTTCCTTCTCTTCTTCCTTACAGAATGCAGTAAAGCAATACAAGCTACCCTGGCTACTGGTGCTTGTGTTATCTTCTTCTCAGCTTCCTGGAGGTCAGTAGGTCTTTTTCTAACCACCTCCTCCTCCTCTTCATTGCTTTAAAAACAATAAAGCAATCTGAAGATTGTATTTTCTGTACAAAATAAGAGTTGTAACTGCTTTCCAAAGTTATGATGCCTCATCTCTCTGATCATCTTTCCTTACTTTTGACAGTTCTTCTTGCCCATACTCTTTCTGGTTCTCCTACTCTTTATTTTTGCAGAGGACAGGGATGGACACATTATTCATGACAAAGGAATGCCACATGTTATTGTATAACTCCATAGCACGTTTTCTATTTTATATCCTGTTCCTTTCCAAATAATTCTCAAAATTCAATTTGCTTGTTCCCCACTGAACACCGATAACACATTTTCTTAACATAACCTAGAATGACTTCAAGATCTTACTTGAGTGCTAACAGCTCACTTGGGGTCCCCACTGTATCTAGGTTGGTTTCCACCAATTATTAACCCATGGGAGGCTCTCTTGTTCTGACACCTTAGTTTCTTTAAGAGGCTGATTACAGACCCTGATAATCAAGGTTTTTTTGTTGTTATTTTTAAGAAATTCAAGGACATCATACTGATTAGATAACTCTTATCCACATGGTTGTTGACTCTTTCAAAGCATGACTTTGAAAAGACGTAACCTCCTAACTTCCCTTTTCCTCTCCTCTAGAAAAGCCCTGTTAACTCCTGCCCATTATCACACTTATTCGTATGTCTTCTACTTCTCTGTTAGGTGCTCTTGCCTAACAGAAGTCTGCCTTACTCATCTGCAGTTATCTGAGCCCTTAAAAAATTGGTGCAGGATATGTTGCTTTCTGTCCTTCTGGTATTATATGAATCATACATACATTGAGTTAGTAGGACAGCAGTACCATTGCTAGGTCATTTAAGAATTCACAGGTAGATATTCTCTGGCCATGATGATTTCTAACCATTCTTGTTATCAATTTTTTCCTAAGACGACAACTTCTAGCAATACTTCAGTAGGACAACTTCATAAAGAACAGTATTGCCATGAGACTCTCCCTAACCATCTTGGTCATCTATCAACTCTTCAGACACACTCAAGAGACTTCATTCTTCTGGTATGTTTAAAAATAAGTATGCTACCATGCTGTTTCTTAAAAACTTCTATGTAGTCAACAAAAACAAATGCAAAATTCTTATAACTGTGACAGTGTAACTCCATGCAACAGCAGAGGTCAGGGCTGAGCAGTGAAGAAGCAGATATGCAAAGGACCTGGGGGTCTGGGTGGACACTGAGCTGAATGTGACCCAGAAGTACACTCCTATGCTAATTTAGACTTAACCACATCCTGGGCTGCATTTGGAAGGGTACAGAAATAAGTACAAAAGAAGGTATTATTCCCTTTTACTCCAGCACTCTTTAAGCTGTACCTGCATCACTCTTGTTCAGTTTTGGGGCTCACAGTGCAAGAGAGGCATTAATAAACAGGAGAGAGTCCATCAGAAAGACACTATTATGGCTAGGGTACTGCAGCATATGATATACAAGGAGAAGCTGAAGGAGCTCGGCACTTTCAGCCTGTAGAAAAGAAGATCAAGGTGGGACGAGGGGTGTATTTGTGGGAATCTAACCACTGCCTTCAATTATCAAATGGGAGCTAGAGTTGACAGAGGACACAACAAAATGAAGAGGCAACAGTCAGAAGTTGCTGCACAGCAAATTCCAACCAAGCATGAGGAAAAGAGTTCACAACAAGAAAGGTAAAGCACAGCAACAGGTTGCCCAGGAGGTTCCCTGGAGACATACAGAAAAATTCAACTACTGAAGGCTCTGTGCTTTGAAGCTGGCCCTGGTTTGACTGTAAGGTTAGATTAAAAGGCCTCCAGCATCCTTATATTATTCATTTAATTCTGGGAATACAAATAGCTATCCACAACTAAAACATCTGCATGAAGGTAAGAGTACACACTATGCTCATCTGAAGTTTTTAATTACACTAACATGTGCTGTGGTGCTGTGCCAGAGTAATTCATGCAACGGAACCAACCTGACTCTAAACAGAAACAGCAAGGTATGTCTGTCTATATGGCACAAACTGATTGGCAAGGAAATGCAAATATATCTGGAAGAACATTAACGTACACTTCAGTTTGAAGCAAAGCCAAAGACAACCTAAAAAGGATACCATACTAAACAGGGAAGAGCAGAAATGTTCAACAACTGGGAGGGATGGGGGGGGGATGATTTTTTTTTTTTTAAGAGTATTTTCAATTTGTCTCTGTCCAAGTGCATCCTATTATTTTATCATTTACCTGATGTGCAAACATTTTTCTCATAGCCACCTGCGTTTTCATCAAAGGTTCATAATGCTCTGGTTTCATAGTGGTTTTGTGTGTGTGGTTTGTTTGTTTGTTTAAGTATACAAGCAGAAATAACTTTATTAACTTAGCTTTGCAAGTGGCTAACAGCTCAGTTTCTCAAAGGAATTTTACTAATCGTTTGTTAATTACTGTTACTCTTGGAGCAATCACTGCAATCTAAATAATCTTGTATTTGTGGCCAACATACATACAGTGTGCATAGCAGCATGTAAAAATCAAACCGCAAGTTTGCAAACAGCTTCCCTGGCACCAACTCTTCTTCCTTTTCAAAACAAACATATTAATGCTACAAGTTCCTGACACTTTTTTTTCTTCTTCTAAAGACTTCAAAAACATAGAAAAGGTCAGGTAAAGCACACACAAAAAATTATCTTTAAGGATATAGCTTCTTAAATTTTCGGTCTTCCAAACATCAACAGTCTTGGAAGACTACTCTTAGTAACTTATAAGCAATTATTAAACCTAAATGAATTAGAACTTCATCATAAGAAGTTCCAAAATGTCTCCAAACAGAAGATAATGATATGATGGAATCAAGGAGTAATGTAATATAAAACTTGCACAGCAAAAGCAGCAGCACCCTTTAACAAAATCTATTATTTATCTGTCTACAGACTGTTCCGAGTAAGTGCTCTCTTCACACAGAGTATACAGGAAATAGCCTTCGGTTACTAACTGCACTTAGGGGAGAACTCCTGAACCAGACCTTTGCTTGCATATGAAAAAAACCACAAAATTTTACCAAAAAGAAAGAATCCCTTGCAGAATTTCAGCAGTAAATCAGACTGGTGATACAGGCAATTATGAACATTTTATGTAACTTAACATGCCACAGAAAAAGACACAGTACATCTAAAATTAGAGAAAGGAGTGCCCTCTGCAGACAAAGCAGTAGATCTCTCAAAGCTCACTGCTCCAGTTCATGCAACCCTAGTGCCTTTGAATTTGGCGTTTCATATCAAAGAGGTTTGGCTGAGGTACTCCTTGCCTCAGGAGCAGAAATCCCATTCATTCTAGGTGCTGTAACATTTTCTGATGTAATTGATCTGATCTTTAAGTTTTCTTCACTTGTGAAAGAGAAAAGCAACAGGAGTGATGAAACAACAGAAGGCAACAGAAAAACAAGTCAGTTTACTGATAATGCAGCCTCTAACAAAGTTGTATCAGTCTGTCTTCTATAGTAGCAATATTGTATATGGTGGAACTGGATTTGGCAAGAAAGTAATCTTGCAAGCACTTTTGGAATTACT